CTGGCATTTGCTTTTGATGACCATTTAGTCATTTGTTTGCAAATGTTACAAATACTTTGTCCAATATGGATTGTCTCATTTTTCTAGATGCTTATAGATCAGAAGCAACATCACAGATTATTAAATGATGTGTATTTAAAACTAATCAGAATAATACTTAACAGTAGTACAGTGCTGTACATTCAATGTGTGGTGCTCATCTACTAAGTTAAAGCCAGATTATAGCTCTAAGAGCCAAAGCACTGAATGAAGGGAGCATAGAGAAATAGTGTTCAAGTGATTTGACAAGTGGTGGTACATCTTTGTAAGATATTTTGTATGTCTTTGTGAGGCTTCATAGGCTCTGAAAAGCATGGTGAGCAGTAGCACTTACTGCATACTGTACAAGCATAATATCAGGGCTGCCCTGATGTTGCTAATCATTTTGCCTGGTGGTAGCGGTGGATCACCAGGTCATGACTGCTTGCCTCATGTGGACGTGGCTTCGCTGAGTGTCTACACATGATATTACTATGCATGAAAGACCTCTGGAATTTATTGCTTTGGAGTTTATTGCTCCCAGGCATGCCAATTGAAAGTGAACACACCAGACGGTAGGGAACGATTGCAGGCAGACCTGGACAGGTTGGAAACGTGGGCAGTACACAATAGGATGCAATACAAGGACAAGTGCAGAGTGCTGCATCTAAGGCATAAAAATATCCAGCACACCTACTGGTTGGGAAATGACCCTATCAGCAGCACAGAAGCAGAAAGAAATCTCAGAGTCATAGTGGACTCCAAGATGAACATGAGTCATCAGTGCAGTGAAATCATCAGCAAAGCTAACCGCACTTTTATCATGCATCAGCAGATGCATGACAAATAGAACCAAGGAGGTAATACTTCCTCTCTGTGTGGCATTGGTCAGACCGCAGTCAGAGTACTGTGTCCAGTTTTGAGGAACTGTACTTCAAGAAGGATGTTGATAGACTAGAGAGGGTCCAGAGGAGGTCCACTCATATGGTTACGGGTTTGCAGGCCAAGCCCTATGAGGAGAGACTCAGGGACTTGGACCTCTTCAGCCTCTGTAACAGAAGGCTGAGAGGGGAACCTGTGGCTGTCTACAAAATCATTAGGGGGGCACAGCAAGGAACCGGAGATGCTGTGTTCACCTTTTGGGTAACCTTTTGGGGTAACAAGGAACAATGGTCACAAACTGACAGAGAGCAGATTTAGGCTAGACATTAGGAAGAACTTCTTCATGGTAAGGGCGGCCAGAATTTGGAATGGACTTCCAAGGGAGGTGATGCTCTTCCCTACCGTGTGAGTCTGTAAGAGAAGGCTGGATAGGCATCTGGCTGGGGTCATCTGACCCCAGCACTCTTTCCTGCCCAGGGCAGAGGGTCAGACTTGATGATCTGTTGAGGTCCCTTCTGGCCCTAACATCTAGGAATCTATGAATAAGCTCCAGAGTTTATTCATGTGCAGTACATGGAGCTAGATTGGAGCAGCTCCGGCTGGCAGGGGGCCCAGGGATCAGTCTGCCAGCTGAGAGGCTCAGTGTGCTGTGGAGGGGCTGGTTGGGGCATGAGGGAGCTTTATTGTGGGACTAGCTGGCAGGCAGCCTCTGCACTGAAGCACCCTCGTGCCGCCACCAGCTCCTCCAGCGCCTACACATGCACTGCTGCAGACTTTGTTACTCCAGAGCAGAATAGTACAAGTACTAGTTTACTCCAGCCTCGCTGGGGCACGTGTAGATGCTGAGATGTTTACTGTACAGCCTAGTCAACTGTGCAGTAAACATCTCGTGTAGATGCACCCGCTCTTGTGTAAATGATATAAACTACTTGCGCTGAAGTATAAACGCATTTTATGCCAAGCCAAAGCTTAGATTACATCAATCAAAGGAGGAATATTTTAAAATTTTGCAAACCTTATGGAAGGATTTTCAAAGGAAGCAAAGGGGGGAAGGGGGTAAGTGCCCAAATTTTAGCCTTAGAAGAAAAGGAATAGAAATGTGGTTCTCAACTTCTTTAGACTCGAGGCACCCCTTGAAAAATGCCAGCTCTTACTTTTCACTTGTTTTTTGACTACACAAAAATAACAGCAATTCTTCTATTGCAAAGAACACAGTAAGACCACAAGGCAGAAAGTTTTTAACACTGGATTCCCATTTGATATCTCATGTGAATCATGAATATGGGTTTGTCATGTGAATCATGTTTGCACACCTAAAAGTGCTAACATTGGTTGGCATGCCATGTACTTTTGAAAGTATCTCAAAGCAGCCCAGGGTGCTGTGGCATGCTGGTTGTGAATCACTGGAATAGGATGATAAACACTAGAACTCTGGTAAGGAGAAAAGCTCAATAGTATAAGCAGTTTTCTTTCAGTGTTTTTATAATTGTAGATGTTCCAGACAAATTTTAGCAGGATGCTATTACCAGTGTCCCTGAACTTGCTTTAAGCTGAAAAAGTTGCTGTGCGCTCAATATAGTATTCTCCACACACTTGTAAAAGGTGTTTATATTGCTGAAAAGGGGAACAAATAGTAAACAACATAGTACTCTTCCATTCAGCACCTTGCCATTACAATGCATGTAAAATGTTACTGCTGCTTGCCATTTGATGTCATTTTTGCATGATTGACCATAGTAATTGATAGTAACTGCTATAAGAAAGGAATTAATATCCCTTAAAGCAGCTGCATTTCAGTGTGGCAGTTGTAATTATCATTAGCTTTTTAATGCTCTTACCTGCAGAATCTTTTTACTATATCATAGGTGGAAGCATCTGACTGGAACAGTTTAACATAATTTTAAGAGCTGAAACATTGTTTTGACCATTGCGATTCAAAATTCCATAGAAAGGGTATTGAAGTTCCTCCCTCCTTCTCTTCCACCAGCCATATGCTTACTCTTTCGTGCTAGTCTTCTGAGCCAGGATTTGGGGCTTGCCATAAAAAGCCAAATTCTGCCTTTGCATGCATGGAGGGAGGAAGGAAGAGATGAGCATTTACCCCTCTTTCACTGCTTAGAGTGTCTGTAGAAGGTCACAGTTAGGAGAAGATGAAGAATATGCTTCTCCCCCCAGAATGTACTTTCCCTCAAAGAGGTGGTGGAATTGCTTGGTTTTAAATTGGTGGAGATGAATATAGTATAGCGCATAATGTGTATTTTTTTGTTCTGCATATATAAAATCCTGTTGACCAGTTGGGAGTCGGAGAAGAACCAGGGAATGGTGTCCAGGACTATGAGTGTATAGGAGGATACTTTATTTTTTCATTATGTCCCTCCATGCCCTGTTTACTTCATGGGAAATATTATCACTGGAAGAAAATACACATGCTGCTTTACATGTGTGTCAATAATATTCTTTTTAATTTTTGGTAGAGCAAGTGGGTAAGAGGTGTAGGTTGAGAAGCAGTAATGCTTCCTTTGGTGAATAAGCACAGTCCTTGACCCGAGCAGATGGTGGGTGTGCATTTCAATACTATTTTGGGCAGAAGGTAGCGCAGGGTGGAATTTGGAGACTAGTTAGTCTCCTAACTGCTTCCCAACCTATACCTCTTACCCACTTGCTCTACCTAAAATTTGGATTTGACTCCATCCTTATAATGGATCCTTACAAATCCTTGAATGTGAAGCCTCTAAAGTTAATTCATACCTGTATTCATATTTTGTGACACCAGCCTGGCTGATATATTTATTGATCCTCGACATTTATAACTATCGATGTGTAAAGTTCTGTCTTGTTCTGGAGCTGGTGTTTCAGAGAGAGTTTACTAATTACAGGGGGTTGTATAATTGGTTTATATTCTTTTACCCAGAAATTATGGCTTGTCTTTTGCTCTATAAAACGTCAATGAAAGGTCTGGATGAAATGAGCCATTGCTCACATCAAAGATAGTTTCATTTACTCTAATTTCTGATAGGGTAAGTAACTGGGGTAAATCATCCTTATGTCAAAGTTTACATAAATTAACACCATGAAAGAGGAAATCCTGTAGTGCACCAGCTCTTACCAGGACTTTTAAAACATTAGGGGAAGTCACAGGCCAGGTCCGCCTTGGAAACTATAAGCCCCCTTTAGTATTGGGGGCCACTAAAGATGTGTTACAGATTTCTCTGAATAAATAATAATGAAAACAGGGACAGCAGTGAAGGTCAAAGGTTCATAATAAGAGTCGCAAGGGGAGACACTGAGCAGAGCACACCAGACCAGCTCTTACCAGGCTTCTTGGAAAACTATGTTATTAATGAGGATAAAACTATTAATGAGCATAAAACAGAAATTTGCTGGGAAATTAATAGTCTTAATTCTTTCTGTATGAGTTGTTTTGTTTAAGAAGATATTTATATGGATACATTAGAACTTAGACCAGATTTTGGTTTAGGCTCTTTTTTTCCTTCAGTGTAAATTAATTTTACACAAATTTAAAGCACAAACAGACTTAACAGCAGACTTAGCAGTGTTTAACCATTCACATATTGGTAACCAGTAATACATTACCAGTTGAAGGGCAAGCAGGAGGGATGGGGGGGCAGCAGGAGGGCAAGCAGGAGGGATGCAGGGAGAAGCGAGGAGGAGGGGAAGGGGGGAGAGGGGAACTAGTACCTAGTACAGTGTGGAAGTGGCAGAGGAGTCTTGAGGCAGCACAACCCTGGCCCCTTCCCCGCTGTCTGCCCTAAGGCGTGCATGCACTCACTAGTGGCAGTGAGCCAGGCCAGCGCTCTGCAGACCCTGATGCAACTGCTTGCAGCCACCTCCACAGAGCCCAGGTTGCTCACAATACACAGTGGGGAGGCTGCAAGCGGCTGCACTGGGGTCTAAGGAGCCCTGGCCTGGCTCGTTGCTGGCAGTGGGTGCACGTGTGTTGGGGCGGACAGTGGGGAAGGGGCAAGAGCTGCGCTGCCACACGAAGGACCAGGCCTCTCGCAGCTCCCCCACCATTTGTCATGAGGCATCTATGCACCTGCTGCTGGCAATGAGTTGGGTTGGGGCTCTGTGGATCTAAGTGCAGCCATTTGCAGCCCTGGGCTCTGGGCAGCCACACACCAGTGGCAGCAGCGGGTGAGGGGCTTTCCTAGCTCACTGCTGCTGCCCATGGCTTCATGGGGATTGTGGCGGGGCTCAGTGCTGCTGCTTGTGGCTGGCCCTTATCCCTGGGTAGCTGTGTGCCAGTGGCAGCAGAAGGTGAGGGGCTGTCCCAGCCTGATGCAGTTGCTGGAGAACCCCAGGTAGATGCATGTTATCAGTTAACTGTTTAACTGCTACCATATAGGCCATATAGCATAGGTTTCTGAATCATAGTATGTTGAAGCTGCTACGTTTGTATTTTATAGGCTAATGGAAGTGTCGCTAAAAGGTTTCTAGAAACCCCAGTTTGCATGGGAATAACACCTCTGTTTTGGACACTGGATTAAGAATTAGAATTTTTCACCTATTAGTCACTGAATCAGTCACGATTCAGATAGTTGATAGCTTCTGGATACTGTTAAACTTCCACAGCCTTCTAGAGCAAGGGCTGGCAACTTGTGGCCCCTGGGCCAGATCTGGCCCATGAACCCTTTGGGTCCAGCCTGCAGCTGCCAATGCAATGCTTAGGTCTGCATTTTAATGGCAAATGAGACAAAAATTTTAAGCTCCTCTTCTGCAGCAGGGGGCTTTCTCTGTGGTCATGCTCCTTGTGTTGCTGTGGGGAAAGAGTGGTGGCAGCATCCAGAACCTAGTGTCCACCCATCCACTTTTCTGCCCCTGATACAAGGTGGGTCATTCTGGCCTGCAGCTGGGAAAGGTTGCCTATCCCTGTTTTATAGTAGGTGATGAGTTAGTGGTCTGACTTGGTCCAGTATCTTGATCAAGTATCTGACATCTGAGAAGCCACTTTTATGATTGGGATTGGACAGAGAAGGCAGGGAAATCGTGCGCATGTGGAAGGAATGATTCTCTCATTCAAGGGATTCCTTCTAGTTTATTACTGGTGCATGTTGACTGGCTCATGGGGAAACTTGCACTGCCTTTGCCTGTTCTGTGGATTCAGGCTTATCTCTAGTTGTATTACTTTGGCACCTTCCACAAGGAATAAAATTGCTTCAAAGGCATGCCAGCCAATGTAAATATTTATAGAAGGAATAATAGCATCGTTGTATTGCCCATCTAGTATCATAATGGGTAAAAGGAAGTCTAGCTGCTGCAGTTACTTTTACTGTAGATGTTTAACTATTTTAAGACTTCTGAAAGCAGTAGAATATGCTTTCACACCTTGGGATGAGGACGGCCACAGGACTGTCACTAAACCTCCTGAAATTGTATTTTTACCTGCCGTGTGATGTAGGTTTAATTAAGCACTTTTAGGTTGTTTACTGCTTATATTTCAAATGCTATTTAAAGCTGTTTGTTTTCCTTTCTGTGCTTTAAATCCTGGAATGCCATCTGAAATACAACTTGATGATTCTGTATTATTATCTTGGGTTAAGTGCTGTCTCATTGCTTTGCAGGCCGCCTGCTGTTTCCCGTGGAGATCATGAAACGAGGTCGGCTTCCTAGCAGCAGTGAGGATTCTGATGACAATGGCAGTAAGTGCTCTTTTATTGTAGAGTGCAATAGGTTATGAGTTGGTTGAAAACATGTTTAATATAATACTCTACATGATGGAGGCATTTTGCATTTCAGCTGGGCCATAGAAAAATGGGGGGAGAATACAAACCTTAAGAAGCTGTTCTTAAAATCAAACACTTCCAGTGTAGGTGAGCCGTGGATTAGAGAATCCCCAAGGACTCGCTATTGATTATACAGTGTTTGATGATGTAAAACAAGAAAGAAAGCTGTCTCTTTGCTGCAAGCAATATAATTTATTGTTATGAGAGCAGTATTTGCAGAAAGTCATTTGTTAACATTGTCAACTACTCGACATTTAATAGAGAAAGAGAAGATTGATCTAGGGCTTTAAAGTTATTTCAGTTATTTCTTGTGCGCCTTGTAAAAAGGATAGGGTATAGTGCGTCAAGCTTGATGAGAACAACTCCGTGTTTTAGGGACAGTGCCATCATTTGATGAATAATAAAGTTTAATTATTTTATTTCTGTTGTTAATGGTATTTGAGGACTAAGGTGCATTCATTTGCTACTAGGGGTGTCTTCATTCTTGGTATAATTAACTTGAGCTACATTAAATATAGCTCTTGTGTTTAGATTTCATTTTTTAAAATGACAGGCAAGATAGCAGCGGTGGTGGGAATTGTGCTAAGATGCTTCACTTGCCCAGACAAGCAAGTTGCTCATATTCTCCATCTGTGTAATCCATGCAGTTGTAAGAGACAGTCTCTTGGTTCTCATCTGATCTACATTAATGCAAATATTTTGGTTTAAAAGATATTACATAAATTGAAAGTGTTACTGGGACAAACCTTGTTAGTGCTTAATCCAAACCCCAGGTCAAAGTTATTGGGAGGCTTTCCATTTACTTCTGAGGCTTTGAGTCGGGTTGTCAGTCCCAGATGCTGTTATTTGATCTCAGTTGGTGGATTCCTTCATTGCTGTCTGCAGAGTCCCAGTGGCTTTAGTTGGGCTGGGACTTATAGCAGTAACTACACCTTCCCCCCTACTTAGCATGCCCTTCTTTAGGGACAGTGCCATTGAATTACATAAATACAGAAAGGAGCAGAGGAGGCAGAATTAGTGGCTTTAGTGGGAATTTGGCTGAGGCTTGAATAAAAGACTTTAAGAACGTTTAAGATTTGCCCCATTATTTGAGCAGGGCGAATCCTGAGGAATTGAAAATTTTGAAAAATCTACTTTGGTCAGATTATTAATGGCTGCTGTTACTTCACTTTCCAGAGTGAGACCCAGTTTCATTTTATCAGTGATAACTTTGACCAACTTTGGGGTTTTGCAAAAAATGTTGCTAATGTAAATTTGATTCAATTTCCCCCAAAGATGAATACAAGTACACGTTTTTAGTTGTGAAACTGATGCTCTCTGTAACCCCCTAAAGTTTTCCCTACCCTTCTCCAGTGTCCTTTTTTATACTGTCTCTGTGCTGGTGTTTCCCTTTGCTTGTATTTTGCTCCATTTTCAGCCTCTTTCCTCATCCAAGTTTTACTCTTCTATCCCTTTTTTGTTCCTTCTGTCCCAGACTCTCCTACACAAGGAAAGAAATAGCTGATCTTTGAGTTGAACTTCCAAATTGTGATAGTTGATTGGGTTTGAAATTAGGTAGACCTGGGAGATTTAAACGTCCAGGAGGACAAAGCCTCTTGACAAAGTACAGGTGTCCCTTGCTTTATGCTGTACATACATTCCTGGAAAATGGTGCATAACTCAAATTTGCATAAAGGGAACCCACTTTACAATGTAACAAATAGGATAAGTTCCAAGACCTCATCTGTACTAACCCTTAGACCTATTTCTACCATTTTTGCAAGACAGTTTTGGTACTCACCAACAGCAGACACTACACACAAGCACAGGGTGGTGGTGAATCTTACCATAATGGGGATGGCAACTACAGAAACACGTGTCGCAGACAACAAGTGGGGAACACAGATCCATACAGGAGACTATATTTTGGTGTGTGTCACTCCCACAATGCACCGCACAAAGCAGCTGACTGCGGGCTTCCACCACACCGGTCGCATAAGAGTGGATTTACCTTGCATGTAGCGACTTTTTTGGTATAAAAAGGGTCACCACATAAGAGCGAATTCACACATACAGAACCCACATAAAGCAAGGGAAACCTATAGTTCCAAACCTCCTTTCCACATTTGCCACATTTGATTTCTTCCAGGTACACAAGCAACTCTTTGCTGCTAGGCTTGATTTTTGTTTGGCTGTGGGTAGAAGAACCTTCCTTCTGTTTGGGAGGCACCATTATGTTCTCTAGGCTGAAATCTGAACCTCCCAGTCAAGAAGGAATCACAATAGTTTGTCTCTGGGACCTTGTGGATCCAGGGACTTCCCAGTACATTCTTGTAAGTTCTGTGTCATAAAGGCCAGGAAATCCAGGATCTAATATGTTGCTACAACTGCATATAAAGAACAGTCTTTGACACTCTGGTGACACTCAAAGCTTTCCCACAGTTTTCCATGGTTCTTTTACTAAAGGTAGTAAATAACACAAGCAGTAGGAAGTGATGCAAAATTACAGGTCTTGTTAGGCCTTCAAGCTGAGAAATCTGGTGTGTAGCATAAGCTGCGACCATAAATGGTTTCTTTTTCATGTGCGTCACCTTCCCCTCTTAGTTTCTTCTATTTGGTCAGATTATTAATGGCTGTTGTTACCTCACTTTCCAGAGGGAGACCCAGATTTATTTATCTATCGGTGATGTCTTTGATCAACTCTGTTAGTAGCGGCTGTAACAACGTTCATTTAGCAGATTAGCTCAAGCTTCCCTGTTTGTTAAAGCACAGGTTACAGTACTGTATCTGTATTTATGACCTGCACACCTTTTTTGTTGAAGTCTTCAAGCTTTTCACTAGCTATTTTTCCCTTTAGAGATTCTAGAAGCGTAAGACAATTAAATATACTGTTTTGAGCACTTCAAACAGTTGCCTTCTCATTGAAAAATTAAAAGTTTAATCAACACTGAGTTGGAATCCTCTTGTCTAACATCTGCTTCTTATCAGTCATGAGTACCTCTTGACCTCCAGTGAGCTCACTGCATTCTTGCCATGCTGAACTCTGCATTGCTACAGCTATAGAGCTTGACATTGCTGTCAGTGAACCGATTTACGTTATTGGGAGCAGGATCGGGCTCCAAAACCCTGAGCTAACTTGTCTTACAGTCATGAGTCTTTCAAGATGCACTTTAACAGGCTTGTATAGCCAGACATCTTGGATTCATCATGAGTTTGATTGCATATAACTTTGAGCTAACTTTATACTGATGCTTATGTAGTGACTGACACTTAACTAATCCCCTAATGCCCACTCCAGCTGCATTTAAGTTAAAGGAATAAGTTCTTTATTTTATGGACCATGGAAACCTAAACATTCACAAAATATAGGTAATAATGAATACTTAGAATCCACTGAAATGTGAAGAAAAAGTTTGGGATGTGAATTTTGTTTTAAGAATCACTGGGCTGTGGAGTGATTTTATACATTTGGCTTGATATGCAGACCTAAGGCTGTGTGTTCAGGTTTTGCATAAATGCCATTCTCAAGAAAATGGGGAAACAATGCTAGTTTCCTGCTTTATGACTCATATAACCAGAGATGAATATTTGATGGTAAGGGTACTGTAACCATGTAGTTACTAAAGAAACTTTTATTCAGTATTCAGTCCAGTAGTTTAACAAAATAACCGAAACAAAACAGCTCATCTGTACAGCAAGTTTTGCTGTAAACTAGTTTTTAAGAATCAAGAAAAAAGTATCTTTTCTTTGTTGACAGGAGATAGAAGTGAGAAATATTTTCATTTATTCTGTGAATGTGTGTGTCAGGTATTTGAGTAAGAAGATGACTAAGCCGTAACAATATGGCCACAACCCTGGAGAATATAAATGTGTGCAGTTAACTATCTATGCAGTTAATTTTCTATTAAATAAAATAATATTTTATGTACCATACAACAGTCGTTTAATATAAAGGTCTGAGTCTTCAGTTTTCTGATCCCTCCTTCTGACCATCTGATGTGATTCTTTCCAGAAACTACTTTGCAGACTGTGTATTAGAAAATGTAGTCCTCATATATATTGCAAATTACCGTGGGCAAAACTTTTGCTTGTGGCAGTCTAAAATCAGATTTCTAAATGTATATTTAGATGCCAAATTAAGATGGACCTGTTACAGAGGGGATGGAAGTTGTTCACAGTGCTTCTGAAAAAATAATTCTTAGATGTCTCGGATTATGCCCTCAGAAATTACAGTGTCTGAAATTCAGTTGCATTTGAATACTATATCCATAAAATTTAGTTGAATGTAAAATTGTTACAGGTACACTTGAGTTTGGGATCTTCATTTTGCCAAGTAACTCCTTCACAATATGTTGAAGACTCCTTTTAGACTCCTACACACTCATTAAAAAAATACTCTGTGCTTCAGAGAAAATCCTCTTTTGCCAACTTGGTAGTGTGACTCCCTCTCCAGATAATTTACTGTGACGATAATATATGGTACTGATAGATTTTTCACAGGGATTCTTTTTTGTAGGCACTTTAGAGTATATGAGATCTTTGTGAACATCTGTATAAATTAATTTTGTTTACTTCAAATTCGGTTATGTCCTCATTACCTATCTTTATGGATATTCATGACTTGCTATTTTGGAGTGATTCCATTTATGTTGCAGTTCAACTTATTTTCCAGTGCAACAAATTTCCTCTTTCTGATCCCAGGTCTTGTGCTAATTCCATATTATATTTGGAGCTTACTTATCTTTTCTGCCCAGTGTTTCTCTGCCTTTAGTCTTGTTTATCAGCCATGGCAAACTGTGCTGAATATACCACATTTTCCTTCCACATTAGATAGGATATATGGTAGCGTGCCCTTCATTTGCAGCTTCAGTATGTTCATCTTTCACAAAGTCACCAAGCACCTGGTTTAAAGATGGTAGCTGCAAGGCCTGAAACTC